AAGATGGATTAATATAACATGATTTGTTTAGATGGAATATAAGTGGCAAGATAAAATTACGTTCATCCAATGAATTATTTTTTTGAGTGTAAACTGCCAACGTGTCCGAACCCAACTCCAGAAACATTCAAATGTGAAGAAAAACAGAACATTAAAAATCTCATGAAGAATACATATGAAATAACGTTTATGGATATTTGCTCATTTTGTATTTGATGTCAACACGTCTCAGAGGTACTGAGAGGAAACCGCTGGTCGTCTCGATCAGGGTAAGAGACGCAGCGTCAGCTCACCAATCAGCACAAACTGGAGAACATCATCAGCACAGTGATATCAGCACGCAGAGACTCTCTGTGCAACAACATCGTTCATCAGGTTTGGACGCTCGTGATCTTCGGGCAGCATTAAAAACAGCTGAATGGGAGTTAAAGCATCAAAGGATGTTTAATGTCGTTTCTTTTCTTCAAACTCAGTCTGAAGTCACATAATCAGTTTAAGTCTCATGACCTTCGCGCTGCTGTCATTTATTTCCTTTTCATCATGCTGGCTGTTGCACTGCTACAGCCTCTCATCAAACTCCTTCGACAGTGAAGAGTTATATTCAAGCACAGACAGAGTCAGCTCTTCACCCAGCACAGGAGCTAACAAGCCCTCCACCACCGAGCTCAGCTCCCTGTTTGCAGCACTGACCTGATATGTTGGTTTCAGCCTGTTCTTATGTTCTTCCAACATTTCCTTGGTGTAATAATCTTTGCCCTCTGCCTTGTTAGTTTGCACCACCTGGTTGATTTTGTCCACCAGCTCCTTTACTTTTTCAGCTTTCTGCTCTTTTTCACCTTTGTTGTTAAGGACACAGTAGTTCTCTGTTTTAAAACCGACTCTCTGAGTAAACTTTGTTATCTCATCCTCAGCTCCATCTACATGAGTCATCAGGAGGAAAAAGTAAGGCCCTGACGCGTCGCCAAACATCTTCTTCAGAGCTTCCACTCGTTTCTCGTCTTCTGTGTTGTCTCCCTCCCATTTTTGCACATACAGGAACACATGAGGACCCTGATCAGCCTCAAACACGGATGCAGTGATCTCGCTCAGCACTTCCTCTTTTGTAAACTTGGTGTGGCACAGACCAGGAGTATCAACTAAAACCAGTTCTTGGTCTCCAAACTGTGCCGTCTCCGTCTTGCACGGTGTTGTACCTGAGAGAAGCCGGTTCTTCTTCACAGCAGGTTTACCCAGGAACGTGTTGATGGTTGAAGTCTTCCCAGCTCCAGTCTTCCCAACGAGGATAATCCTCAGCTTTGTTGGGCCTGTTTGAGAATTCACACGACATTCATCAACATCAGCACTGCAGCAGTCACAGTGTGACAACAACAACTGACATGAGCTTTAATTTTTCCTATTTGCTTTGCTTTTCAAAGACATGATCAGTTAGTCTGGGTTGAACAGCTTTGACCCCACACTCCTCCAGCTTTGTAGAGTCTCACTGATATAAACGCTGCTTTGCTGATGACTCAGTGCTCTTTATGTCTAAAACTGCAAAACACCTGAAAGGCTCCAGATGGTTTTTAAGGCGTCTCAGTCCTGCAGCAGTCACCTGCCATGTGAACCAGGCAGCCATCTATTTAAAAAACACCTTTCAGTATAATAAATGGATAAAAATGTAAAAAGTAAAGTTTTCTTTAAGTATGAAAATAATTTTAGGAGCATTAACGATGTTCACGCCTCCTGGAGCTCTGCCCTAAGAATACAGTTAAACTGAAACTGTAACTATTAAACTACAACCAATGATAGTAAAGCACTCCATTATAAATGTAAATAAATAATATAAATGACATCATGTCAGAAACAAAATGACTTTCTATTGTTGCTGAAACACCAAGTCAGTAAAACATCTGTAAGGGATTAACTTTGAATGAAACTTTAAACTCTAAACATTTAGTTTAAATCGTGCATCTGCAGCTGTCACCACCTGAAGTCTTTAAACTTCACTGAATTCTGCTGTTCTCTGTGTTTTTGTCTAATAACATGAACAGTTTAACGAGCAGCTGTTGAAGTCAGATTTCTGTCACTTTTGTCATAAAAATATTTTGATGGTTTGTGACAAGAAAGCTGAGTTTGACTAAAACACCAAAGTGTGTGAGAAATGTAAAGTTACTTTCAAAGTTACAGGTAACTCCACAGGCTGACAGTTAACATACATGAACCTGGAAATATTAGTCTGAGGAAGAGGACGAGTCCTCGCTCTGCTGGTTCATCCAAAAGCTCAAATATAAAACGCTCTTACCATCATTTGCATGTTTGCCGGCCATCCTGCCTGCCAGATGTGGTTGGTGGACAGTCATGAGTGGGTCCTCTTCTTTGTAACTTCATGTTTTTATAATAACGTCTGTATAGTTCCCTCCCCTTGAACACACATCACCAAACCGGTTTCCGAAAGAGCCGTCCAATCACAGAGCACGAGTCAGAATGAGATGCAGACTCAAGGACCAAAAAAAGAAAGGTTCAACCAACAGGGAGCTGGCATTTTTCACTTATTAAAATTAGTTTAATTCTTCTTAAGAAAGTGGGACGTGGTATCTAAACAGTGAATACAAAAAAGATGATGCAAGGACCTGAAAATAAAATGAAGCCGTTAACAAAGATCCTGCGTAGAGCAGACGTGCACATCAGTACGACTACCTTTGATAGAAATGGACTCGTCCTCTTTTACACAGGAATCAGAAATATCTATTCAAAGATGAAACATGTTAGGCGACTATTTCTTGTCTTGAAATGTGCATCTCTCCTTTGTTTTTACTGCGGATGTTCCAGGTCAGTAATCAGACCAGAAAACGCTCAGACAGGTGGACGGTGACACAGGTAGCCGCTAGCTGTCGTCGAGGCTTCACCTCAGCTAACTGGAGTCCCTGAACTAGACCTCTGTGTTTGTGCTGCTGGAGCATTTTCATTGTTATGACACATCGTCTGTTAGGTTACTGTACTAACAGACCTTCTAAGAAATCTGAGCTTCAGTTTTGTGAGTGAATTTCCAGGACTTTTATTGGAGGTTATATGTTATTGTAAGCTAACAGCTGCAGCTTCAACAATCAAGCTGCTCTCAAACCCTTAAACTCTTTCATCATTAATGACTGAGAAACGTTGTGGGTTAGCTACAACTATTTTGGCTTTTGAAGTGAAAATCTTTGACAACCTCTGATTACAACAGCAGCTACATCAGTGTGGTTGAGGTAACACGTTAAAAATCACAGCTTTAAGGCAACGCTTGAATCACACGTGCTTCTCTGTGATGCTCAGAGGAGCAGTGAGCCGTCCTCTCCTCAGTTCTGATAACCCCCTCCTCTCTGATGGTCCAGCTCCTCCCCAGCACTGAGCCCGCCTCCTGGTTTGAGGATGTTGGACTCTGAGGAGCAGTGCAGCTGTTTGCTGAACGTCTGCCCTCTGGTGGCCACAGGAGAAACTACACCTGCTGGACTGTCTGGGTTTGAAACGTCTGACACAGGCTGAGGTTAAAGTGACCTGAAGTGTCTGCAGCCACGATGAGAGCTGATCCACATCAGCTCGATGTTCTCCAGATCGAGCTGTGAGCGTCAGTGAGATGGATCCATCAATCACCTGCAGCAGGTTCACGGCTGTGACGCAGAGGAGCAGAAAGCAGTGCTGATGCCATGATGTTGAATCTGTTTCTGATCTGGTTCATCTCATGTGGGATAGATTGATGAAAAGTCTCCTTTTACTTTTACTTTACTTTAAATTTTAACTTATTTAAGTTTGGAAAAGGTTTTTAAAATACTTAAACTGCCTGGATCACAGAGGCTTTCAGGATGCTAATTGTTATTTATCAATGCCTATATTACCTCTGATCAGCTATGACATAAAAATAATACTTTCTATAATCCATTGCCATCCGGGATTCACTACCTTATCAAGGTGGAGGGGTTTGTGTGTCTTGTGGGGCTTTTTGTCCCCTGGTAGCGTCTCCCATGGCCAATTGGTCCTGGGTGAGGGGCCAGATGAAGAGCGACTCAAAAACCCCTATGAGCAGAAGATCCAGGAAATAGTTTGCTCTATCTGGGGTAGGGTTACTGATCTTCAACACCCACCTGCAGCAGATCTTTGACAGCATTGCAAGGGAGCACTAGTCTGAATGGACCATGTTCAGCACTTCCAGGTGGTTGGTGTCTGTCAAGGTGATAAGCCCCGAACCTGATGGTGGACATCAGAGGTGAAAGGGAACCACCAGCCTGAAGGAGGAGTCCTATCGGGCTTGGTTAACCTGTATAGCTTCAGAGGAAGCCAATAGGTACCAACAGGCTGAACAAGGCTCGGGCAGTGGCTGAAGCAAAAACTCATGTGTGGGAGGAGTTCAGAGGCCATGGAAAAAGACTTTTGGACTGCCTCGAAGAGATTCTGGCAAACCATCAGGTGACTCAGGAGGGGAAAGTGCACATAGACTATAGTTGATTGATTCCGGCCTTTATTTGTCCCTTGCAGTTGCCTGCAGCAAAATTGGAGCTTTTCTAAACGTACATACATCACATTGGGGAGACAGGTCACAACAGGTAACGTAAAGAAAACAGTGAAATGTATAACAACAATGGACAGTCGCGGAGGAACAAAGAAACTCTGCTCAGAAAACAAAAACGTCACAGCACAAAAGCACATGAATCTTCACACCATAACACCATGAAAACACATGACAAGCAACAGGGAGTAAGCCGAGTAAGCAGCATCAGGGTCGCTGCATCACTGCACATTCCAGCTGACGCACCGTCTGCGCCGGATGGGAGGCAAGCATCGGAGGAGTTTGCAGTGGGGAAGGGGAGTGAGTGTGTATCTGTGTCAGTGTGTGTGTGAATGGGATGCTAGGCTCCCTATTTCCACCATTTGCAATGGCAGCAGCAAGCTTTCAGCACTTGGATCCCTATCCTCTAACCAGTTTCTCCAGTCTTCCGTTTCATATTATACACTATTGTTTGTTTTGTGGTGTTGCAAAATAAACTGTTTACGGCAATATTTTTTCATGGTTGTGATGGTCATTGTAGTGGCATATTAATTTCTTAAAGTTCTCTCTTTCTCTTATACTTACAATAACCACACTATGGACTGTTATGGAACGGCTGTGTGCAGACAGGAATAGGACCCAAGGTGCAGACACTCGGAGGCAAAACTTGAACTCAAAACAGCTTTAATGTTAAACTCAAATATAACATAACTGGAAATATCAAAATAAACTTACACCAGAAGACTGACAGAACACACAGCTAGATAAACGGTAGATCACGACACGGACACAGAGAAACACAGGGCTTAAATACACAGAGGGAGCAATCAGGGAATGGGTAACAGGAGGGAAACACAGCTGGGGCAAATCAGGCCTAACAAGACAAGGGGAAGCGAAACCAGATACATTAACATCAGACATGGACCTTCAAAATAAAACAGGAAACATGACACAGACTCACACGCAGGCACTGCAACAGAGGGAACAGAGACGTGGGACCAGGACAGACACAGACACTGACTGGACACGGGGATATAGCAGACAGGGGAGACAGCAACTAAGGATTACACAGAGACAAACCATAAGACATAACTCTAACGAAGAAACCAAAGAATAGAAAAGATAAATAATACAATAAATTCAAAACCCTGACGGACAAGTGACTGTTTTTACGCGTACTTTCATTACCAACAATGACGGTAAAACCATTGTGTGGCTCCGCTGTCCTCTTGTTTATTTTCTACATAAACCTTTCACAATAAAGCTCAAGCTTCTGTTGAGACTTTTCAAAATAAACTGAAATGACATATATTATTCTCAAACATCAAATTTCAGAATATGCACCAAACAAATGACCTCAAATGAAAACATCAAGTAAGAGGACCCGGCCCACCTAGACCGTGGAGGCCGGGTCCTCGGGAGGATGCAGCCCATGAATTTGGACACAACTGTAAACTAGGGTTAGTGTAACTTTGCCTGGAACCCTTTAAACTGTACAGTAGAGCCAACTGTAAAACACAGGTATTGATACAGCACTTATTAGAGTCCTAAAATAATTTCTTCCTCTCTACATTAGTAGAACCATGAAGTTCTCACTTTTCCCAGTTATCCACATCGCTGACTTTCGCTAATTAGCTAGTTAGCAGTCACAGCTGTGTAATACCCAGAAGGACGCAGACAGCTAACTATAATATTTATGAAAACTGGTTCAGCCATTGAAGGGCAAAACTGGTGGTATCACAGTAAAAATTATTTTAACATTAACTAAAATAAAGCTTAAGTCATGTTAAACCTAAATAACAATTATTTAAAAAATGAGTCAGCAAAATATTCCTGACTTGTCTGGAGACAGCCGAAACCAGTTAACAAATAAATTAACAATTCTTTCTCAATAAAAACGTGGAGTCTTTTGGAAAACATTATTTTAATAAAAGGAAACATGAGTTTTAATACTTACCACGGAAATTTGAAGGCAGTTTCTCCAACTCCAGAGTCCAAAATCCAGATGAAGCCTGAAAGAAGCCTAATGGCTGCTCTTGCACTTACTTTTCCCTCCTTTTCGGGTTCTTTTTCCCACAATGCATTGCAGTAGTTGAGAAATACAGAAAAATACCTGTAGATGACTAATACGGAAAATTCCTTCACATTTATACAGTAGATTGTACTGTATTTTTACAGATTTTTTTTACAGTGTAGAAGTCCGTTACTGTATGTTGTAACTATTAAGTCTAATATATACCCCAGTCAGCTATATTACTTTTTCCTTTAGGAAGATACGTTGATAATGTTGATACGAACACTATTGTCTCTAGCCACACCCCTGCCGAGATTGACTTTGACCCTGACACTGTCCCGCTTTTCATGGACCAGAACTCTTTCCACAGACTGCTGACATTGCTCTGGAGACAGAGGCGTCTACTTTAAACAGACCTGGAGTGTCAACAACATCATATTTTTGACAGTCAATGATCTTTCCTTCCTTATGGCACTTCTTTAAGTCCTTATCGGAAGTGAATACTTCTCTGCTGCCCATGTTGATGCCTCCTAGAGTACTTTTACCCTGTCCACTCTGTCCATACAGGACGATTCTCAGCTCACTCGCATTTGCATGTCAGAATTTTCCCAGTCATAATGACTTCAAACTCATCAGTCTCTCTCAAACCTGATTCAAACTGTGGAACATATTTCATCATTTACAGTAACGTATCCAAAAATGTATTCATCAAGTCATTAAACAGACTTTATAAGTACAAATGCTGCAGTCTAAGTAGCTTGCAAAGAAAAGCGTCTGGACTTCTTTAAGTTGCT